ACGAAGCAAGAAGGTTATATGTGAGTAGTGCCTTGATATGATTATGAGCAGCAATAAATTTTTCTCAAAACGTGTTCATCAGTAAATATGACTGTATAACAAGCACACTGTGTGATTTTATCAAAAAATAAAATTTTTATCCATAATGGAGTTATACTATAACATCGCAGTGCTCAAATTTTTATCCTTATATCAGTCTAGGCGACTGGGTTGTACCAGCTTCCACTGAGATGTATCTCTTCAGACATTCAAACTTACATCGCCAGGTGTCACAGCTAGACACATTATCATGAATGTGTCTAATAAAATTTAGACTTTAATTCATCTCATCCGTTAACTGTTAAGGCAGGCTTGGTTAAGTGTCTGACAAACCGAGCAATGGAACTAAGTAGCACAAAAAAGACCTAAATGATGAAATAAAACAGATAGAAGGACAAGCTTTGGTGTTATATAACTATCCTTTAAAATTCATTAAGAAGACTGAAAAAGGACCAAAAGAAAAATAAAAAGAATTGTGAAACTAGTAATAATAATATAAATAAGAGAGAATATACGTCATCTACTGTTATACCATATAAGGAGGGGACATCTGAGACCCTCCCTACGTAGGATTCTAAATAAAGCAGGAATTAGAGTGGCATTCAAACCTACAAACTCACTCAGGGACAAGCTCTGTAGGTTAAAGGACCCTGTCGGGTGACCCAATTAGACAAAATAATATAATTTACAAAATACCCTGCGATGACTGTGAGTTGGGTCAACTACATAGGTGAAACTAGTAGGTCAGGGGTAGTCAGATTGTCAGAACATAAGAATTTAGCTAAGGTTAGAATGATTGATCCCAAATGCGAAAATAAGTAATTTAGAAAACAGCTCAGCAGTAGCACTGCATGCATTAACAACACACAACCACACAATAGGGTGGGAAAGGGTTAAAATTCTAGAAAGTAATCTAGGTACGTGGAGAGAGAGGTTGATTACTGAATCCTACCTGGTTCATCGAGTCTACACCCAACACATGCAATAGGAATGATTCATCACTCATACCCGAAATATGGAAAATATTACTACTAATCAAATCAAGTGAAAATCAAGTAAAAATCAATGGAACTATATAAATGAATTTAGGAAGTCGTGTGATTACCTTGATATGATTATGAGCAATAAATTGTGCTCGAAACGCTGTCATCAGTAAACATTACTGTATAACACTGTGAGACTTTATCAAAACAAAATTTACCCATAATGGAATGAATATATCCTAGCTGTGACTGACCTCCTATAATGAGTGCAATTGATCAATAAGAAGCTCATAATTATCATGCTAACTAATAGAATGCTCATTCAGACATCTATAAAACACACAAAATAATTGAGCAAAGAATATCCTTTTAGATAATTTCCTCCTCTTCTGGCTCTACAATTATATATGCATGTTTACATACACAGAATATTCTAGAATAGTAGTCAATAACAATATTAGTGTTTTTTAAATAATATCGCTTTGTTACGTAAGATCAATTGAATTGAAGTTCTTTAAATATGCTTAAATTATAATAATAATAATAAAGATATGGTAGCAAATAGAATATCAAATAAAATTAAGGAAATTCCTATAGAAAGTTGAGGATCATTCGAACCTAGATGGCTAAGGTAAGGATAATTTCCGAACTAGCTTCTTCTGGATGCATAAATTAGGCTTCTTAATATGGATCCCAATGGCCAGCCTCAGCAATATTTAGTAATCGAACTCTTAAGGCGAAATTAAGATTAGTTGGCATACGGTAGATGACTTTGAAAGCTGCCTCGTTGACATCAATCAATCTTGTGTTCTGTTGCATCCACAAGATAAGTGAGATAGAATAGCGTTATGTGGATAGATTTAGTTTGTCCTTTACTCAACCAACCACTATGCAGAGTGATGTTCCGAAATTCGATCAGCAACACGCCTAATTGCACGGCCTATGTAACTGGCTCCACAGGAGCAGTTAAATTGGTAGATACGCATGGAAGAGGCGAAATTAGGCAGTTTATCTTTTACTGTTCACACAAAAGACTAAACAATACAAAACTGTATTTTAGAATGATGGAGATAGGATACTTGTATTGTTTTGAGCTGAATACTTTAACTGAAAACGTTTCATTATCTTCCTGGATAACATAGTCAGCATTTAATTCAATATGAAATTCATATTTTTCTTCTCAATCAGTTGATCTTGAAAGTTAGGATTAAATTGGGTGTTTAGCATACTGACTATCGGATCAATGATACTTGTTCTGCTGGGAATAATAATGAAATTTCAATTTGTCATCTTGTGTGTGTGCTTGTGCGTGCATGTGTGTGGACACTAATAGCTTATTTCCGTTGCAAGTGGAACGCAGGACTTGAAGGTTTTAGCTTTGAGGTTGCAGTTTGTGAAGATTGGGGTTACTAACCTGACACCGAACCTCCCTGCTTTACCAGGCTTACTGAAGCTTAAATGAAGTTTAAGAGTCTTTCAGTATAGAAGTGGATCCGGACCCCACGCTTATCTGGCGAGCATTCTATCGCTCAGTGCCTAACACACTTCTCACTCATTATGTATATGTATACATTGTGCGATCCGAATGTTTAGAGTATTCAAAAGAGATCTTGGTGCATGTTTGAATGGAAGTGAGTAATTTGATTCCACCTACCACTGTAACGACAAATGACAATGGCCAGGCAACATATCGGTTATAGAGGAAATCAACAGATATTTATAGATTTTTATTTACATTATTATTAGCGATATTGTTAGCAGAGAAGCAACGTCTTCCGATTGGGTGTATTCCTGCTGAAGGTTATTCTCTACCGCTTGTGACCGTTTCTCAGAAAGTTAAGCCATATATCTGCGAATCATATTGGCACATGTTAAGTCTGCTGTGACTGGTTGGTGAGTTCCTCAAGGTTAAGCTTTGTTCTTGTTTTTTCTCATGACTCCGAATCGGAACGTAAAAATTGTCTTGCAGACAGCTCTCACCACACCGTCACTTCAACCAAATAACCACCAGGAATTGATTTGACCGCCTGTCATGAATATCAGCCAGGTACATCTTTGGTGAAATTAGTCACCAAAATGAATGAAAAGGCGATCGTTCAGTGCTTGTAGGATAACTGTGGTCTGGCTAGCTAGGACTGCCGCTTGATGTGAGCAGTTCGAAACTACTCAATCAGTCGATCAATCAATCAATTAGTTAGTAGTGTATGCCATCGTGTTACTTCACTTACTTTCTTGACTGCCTTTTATGGTATCAGGCAGATCACACAGTGTGTGTATGTGTGTGTGTGTATGATCTGAATATGTTATGGTTTCCCATAAGAAACTGTGAAATCGTACAGTTTGGAAACATGAATAATCATGTTTATGAAAAGTATTCATGAGTCTTGAAATGATATGGAAGCAAACTTCGTTCAGGGGAATATCTTTGGTGTAGTCAAGAACGTTTCATTATCTTTCCTAGACATCATCTTCATTGTTGTTGTCTGGAAAGACAATAAAAGCGTTACAAGTCTAAAAATAATAATAATTTATATCTTTGTTTTTAGCTAATGACCTATTTTCAAGTGTTGGCTTTCAGGAATTTGGCTGACATCACGTCACACCGTGAGTTTATATTAGTGAATACCAGAGCATACTTGATAGTTTCTGGGATTCTTCATAAATACGCAACCATCATCCTCTTGAGGATTCAACCGAATCTCAGTGACTGAATGGCCAGCAGTTAGACTTCGTCATTGAGATGGCCTCGGTTGGCCCCTTTTTGGGTCATGATCGAGTAGTATTGAAGAGTCGCACGCCAAGACGAAACAGCTGTCCAGTACCCAAACCCTGTCAGTTTCGAGTAGTTCTCTAACTGATGTGTATTATTATTATTGTTTCATTTATTTTCTAGAGGAACATAGGGCTTCAGCCACACGTCTCCATTGTCTTCCCTTCTCTGCCAACTTTCCACCTGGCTCCACGTCTGCCCACATACCTTCATCTCCTCTTCACATCATTTCTTCCATGTCACCCCACCCTCGCATTGACCACCACCTTGCCGCTTCTCATTGGGGTTCCACTCGAGCGATGGCCTGGCGTGTGATGTCACTCACTTGATGGTTTCCTCAGAGCATTACCAATCCACCTCCATTTCTCCTTGCATATTTGTTGCACAATTCGTTCCTGCTGGGTTGGTTCGCTCCCAGAGATCCTTCCCTATTGCTGATCTTTTCTGGCCGACCATCTGGTCATGAGTGAATTACTAAGCGAAGACAGCTATTGATGAAGGTCTGTAGTTTGTTCAAAGTGCTCCTCGTGACACGCCAGATATCTGATCCGCATAGAGTAGCACTGACTTCACGTTAGAGTTGAGTGATGTTGACCTCCACATAGACTTGAGTGTAATGAAAGCTTGCCTTGCTTCCCCAATCCTCGCCTTGATGATATCCTCATCAGTTCCGTTCGCCTCTAGTTGAAACGATGCTTCTCAGGTAGGTTGTAAAGAAGGTGGCTTCTTTCAGATTTCTCCCATTTATGCTGGCTGATTGTTGTCTGTTGTTGGCGCTGTTGCTGTTGGCCAGGAATCTTCATCACCATATCTCTTTTATCTATGTTCTCCTGAAGTGAAGTCCTATCTTCTCTGGATGCTTCTTCTGCCAACCTGTTGCTTTTCACTCGCATATATTCCAGTTTGTAGGAAATCAGACATATATCATCGGCGAAGTCCAAGTCCTCCAAGTTTCTTTTGTTGATCCATTTTATACGTGTTTTCTCGTTGCTCACTGTCTGTTTGTCGCATTATCCAGTCTACCAACAGAAATCAGGAAAATCATTGGATATAGTAGTCAGGCAGCTTGTCTTACTCCCATCTTCACTTCGAAGGATTCCGTGAGTTTCCCGTTGTGGATTACTTGTAATCCCCTATTGTATTTCATCTTATCAATAAAAAAATCAATAATCCCAGTTTCTCATTTTTTCTCTTTAAACTTTCTACAGATGCTCAAGTATTACCAAAACATTTACGTGATAATAACGATAAAAATCAATATGCTGATTCAACTTCACTTGATCTCTATAGTACAATGAATACATTTCAACCGGATTCATTTAATACACTTGATAATTGTGAATTATTGAATTTAAAACCATTAGAAAATTTATCATTGAACAAGCCTACGGATTGTATAGAAAGTTTTATAAGTAAACAGTGTATTGCCCCATTGACAAGTGGTGAGGAAGAATTAGAAGGAGAAGAAGAAGGAGAAGAGGCCTTACAGTCTTCACCATCAACAAATTCACTGGCTTCAGCCTGCTCCTCAACGAATGCCTCCTCCTCCTCCTCTTCTTCTACTTCACCCTCTGCCTTATCCTCCTCAACAACATTCGATTCAAAGACATCTATCTCATCATGGAATTCCTCGGAAATGTATTCATCACCAATAATTAGTAAATCATTCCTAGTGGGTCAACAAAATCCTGTATCAGTGACAAAAAGAAATCGATCCATTCAATCGATTAGTGCAAATCATCGATCGGGAGTAGATAATCATCATCATCATCACCAGCAGCATCACCAACCATCAGAACAACAACCTTCTCGTCAGTATGGAAAGTCTTCAGAACAAAGAAGCAGTACAGATATAATGAATGAATGTAATGAATTGCCGAAGAAAACTAAAAAAATTGGTCGACATATCAGGAAATTTTTTCATAAGTAAGTCGAGTCAATTACCCACTTAATTATTGTTTTATTGATATCATTTATTTGTTAATTATTGATCAGTCAATTGATCGGTGCTATTCAATGTTTTGATGTGTCTGGTCCTTTGTGTCACTGATTGATTGAATTCTATTGTAACAACAGAAGACAAGGGTCAGGCAACAGATCGTTTATTAAGGAAAATCAACACATATTTATAGATTTTAATGTACATTATTGTAGATTATTGTTAGTAGAAAATACAGTCTTTTGATTGGTTGTTTCTCACAGGAAGTTAACCTTGCATCTCTTTGTGGCTGTGTCAGATCATCCATATGCTAACTGTATCCGCCTGCGCAAAGCATTTGTTCTCATTTTCTCACCACCAATATTGGGGACATAAACATTGACGTCAATTACTGTCTACGAACTTTGGCCAGCAGCCAGCTCTCACCACACTATCAGTCAGGTTTGTAATGTGGTTAGTCACCAGTCTGAGGGACTCAACACTCAGGTGGGCTCCGAATTGATGTCAGGTGGTCGGGGGGCGGGAAATCAGCAGGAAGCTCTGAGCTTAGGTTTCATGTTTGTTTGCACCTGTGTGTTAAAACCAAAAGTGCCTTGTCATGGTCTGAGAGCAAGAAACTGATCTATGCACTCCACCGTATTGCTATTCAAAACTTCCTTGAGACATGCGTAGTCACGAAACCCTCCGAAGATAGCAAAAGGATTATGATTCTTCGATCAATCTACGGTTCTTTTCAACCGTAATAAAATAGAGTCAAAGTTACCCTCACTTGTGTCGTTAGACAACTATGTTTTAAATATTATCACTATTATTCCCTTGGGTTTCGAGTGGAACACACAGGGTTTCAACAACACATCCCCACTTTCTTCTATGCTCTGCTGTCCTCTTCGGCTGGATCAACGATTGGTCATAATCTCTCACCTCCTCCTCCTCGCCACATGAACTCCTCCATGTCGCCATCTCACCAGCAGCCCATTCGTTGCTTCCCATTGGGATTCCATTCGGGAGATGGCTTGCATTGAACGCGATGTCATTCGACAGCCTCTTCAGCGTATTCCCAGACAGCTATATAGTCCAGTTAGTCTCTTGAGAATAAAATAAGTACTGCAGAACGAGGCTGGTTAACCAAAATTCAACTGTAACAAGTACCTGAGAGTCATGTAGAATATGCCCGGAAAAAGAGGGATCAAAACGCCGTCCACAAGAATAGTTCGAGGGGAGGGAGCTTTTAAACAATCTTTCCATTACAATGGTGTACCTGCAACCTTCCATTATGGGTAAATTTTGTTTTGATAAAGTCTCACAGTGTTATACAGTAATGTTTACTGACGCCCACGTTTCGAGCACAATTTATTGCTCATAATCATATCAAGGTAATCACACGACTTCCTAAATTCATTTATATAGTTCCATTGTTTTTCACTTGATTTGATTAGTAGTAATATTTTCCATATTTCGGGTATGAGTGATGAATCATTTCTATTGCACGTGTTGGGTGTAGACTCGATGAACCAGGTAGGATTCAGTAATCAACCTCTCTCTCCACGTACCTAGATTACTTTCTAGAATTTTAACCCTTTCCCACCCTATTGTGTGGTTGTGTGTTGTTAATGCATGCTTTGCAATTGCTGAGCTTTTTTTCTAAACTACTTATCTTCTCTGTGTCAACCAATCTTACCTTAGCTAAATTCTCATGTTCTGACAATCTGACTACCCCTGACCTACTAGTTTCACCTATATAGTTGACCCAACTCACAGTCATCGCAGGGTATTTTGTAAATTATATTATTTTGTCTAATTGAGTCAACTGGGTCCTTTAACCTACAAAGCTTGTCCCTGAGTGAGTTTGTTGATTACTGAATCCTTGTTCATCGAATCTACACCAAACACATGCAGTGGGAATGATTCATCACTCATACCCGAAATATGGAAAATATTACTACCAATCAAATCAAGTAAAAAACAATGGAACTATATAAATGAATTTAGGAAGTCGTGTGATTAGTGCCTTGATATGATTATGAGCAATAAATTTTGCTCGAAACGCTGTCATCAGTAAACATTACTGTATAACACTGTGAGACTTTATCAAAACAAAATTTACCCATAATGGAATTACACTCTACCACAGTGCACAAGTTTTATTCTTATACCTGCAATCTTGCAGGAACTCATGTCCCCCTGCTGATTGCTTCCAACGATGTAGCGTCATTTCAGATTGTGCCACAATATCAACCCACCTATCCCAGTGGTGGCTACTACATTGTGAACTCGATCGATAGCATTCAGTCTGCACCAATACTAATAAGGTCATCTAGACGCATGACACTCAGTTACTTACTGCCTAGTGACCAGCCGATAATATGAGTCCTTATGTACCGTACATCCATTCACTGAGTCCTAAGTTACAGTAGTTATATAAGGCAATTGAATGTTTCCGATTATGGAGGCCTATGTTCTCATTCTAGCGTTAAGCTAATCAACACCCTAAGTAATTTTTGAGTTCAGGGGAGTAAAATGTTTGTTACAGGCACTAAGAAGATGCGCCACACAATAATAATAAAAAATAGCAACATATAAAAATATAGTTAGATAATGAGTAAGGACTTCTTCCGAGAAAGGAAGTAGCTCTATTTAACCAGACCCAAAAACACTCTCCAATTATTGGCAAAAAGGAAAGAAAGAAGGAAATCACAGCACGTTCGCCATTAATTGAGACTCTTAACCGTATTTCACAAGGTTTCGAGCCATCCACTCGAGATAACTCTAGGACCCAACCAGGGAGTCTGACGCAAATATCCTACATCCAACGATACCACATTATAGGCTGACCAACTCCTAACTTTTTCTATCTATTCCCGGAGCTAGAGAGCAGAAACCGGTACGGTAGCCTCTGGGATGAAATTTGTAGCATATGTTCAAGCCACCAAGGCTGGTGTTTCCAGGTGATGATACTCAGTGAATAATGATCCCCACGGTGTCCAAACACGCGCTGCCAGACCTCTGAACTACTCGCACAATGATGCCATAGAGAGGAAGCAATTCTGCGGAGACGGCTATGATAGAATACGCAGAGTTGCCACATGTCCTAAGTTCGAACGGGTTTCAGAGGTGTAGAGCAAGACCACGTGCACCGAACCGTTGCAGACAAGACGTTTTACAACCAAGCCAACATTGTGAAGATTCCGGAGGTGATTCAAGTTGGTATATGCCACCTTAACTTTCATGATACGGTCGGAAACCTCGACCTTCACAACTCTGCTAACACTCACACAACTACCGCGATACACGAAACTATCGACCTATTCAAGCGGTAGGGCACATGAGTTTTGTCGAGATTGCAGAATGGCCTTGTCGAAATGTCCCCAGTTAGGAAGATCGTCAGTGATAATAGGCAGCCTTGTCTTATTCCCGTATTCACTTCGAAGGTATCTCTGAGTTTCCTGTTGTGGATTACCTGACAAGTGTCATTGTCATTTAACTGTACTCCGTAGTGTTGAAGTAGTTTCCAGATTTATTCTTGGACAACGCTGCTGAAGGCCTTTTTGAAGTCTATGAAGTCGAGGTAGATTGATACTTGACTACTATTCTAAGCTCTATTCGATAATGATGATGATGATGTGTAGAGTTTCAATTTGATCGGCACGCGATTTGCCTTTCCTGAATCCAGCTTGTTTCGGCTGGCAGAGTTTTGAATCCAGGATGACGCGACTTAGTGTCTAACCTGGTGTGGACTAAAACATTATTCCACGTCATTTCTTGCAGAGGCCTAAATTTCCCTTCCCTCCAAACGTTTTGCAGTTTTACCGTGAGCATTTCCTCTGTTGTCTCTGGGTCTGTTTCCAGTGCTTCAGAGGTAATTTCGTCTTGTCCTGCTGTGGCTTGTTTGAATTCAAGATATCTGTTTTTTTGGAGTATTGGTGTCCACTGGCAGGCAGCTTTGTGGCTGTTTGTATAGTTGGTATATCTAGACGAGTTGCAAGAGTCTTTTGAAGTGAATGGTTGATCAAACTAAAAGCTGCTACCTACCAATGAAACCATGAATTCTTTAACAGTTATTATTATTATAATAGTTCCCTTGGGTTCCTAGTGGAACAAAGGGCTTCAACTGCACGTCTCCACTTGCTTCTGTCTTCTGCTGTACTTTTCACCTGCATCCATGTTAGTCCATACTCTTTCAACTCCTCTTCACACGATCTCCCCCATGTCACCCTTGGACGTCCCACTCGTCGCTTCCCCTTCGGGTTCCACTCGAGCTATGGCCTGACGCGCGATGTCACCCAGCGCGATGCCTCCTCGGCGAATATCCAATCCATCTCCACCTTCTCCTGCATATTTGTTGGGCGATTGGTTCTTGTTTTGTTCGTTCCCATAGTTTCTTGTTGGTGATTCTTTCCGGCCATCTGATCTTCAGTATGGAATGAAGACAGTTGTTGATTATGGTCTGCAACCTATTGGAAATATCCTTTGTGACCCGTCAAGTCTCTGATCCATATAGAAGAACTGACTTGACGTTATTTATTCATTATCCGAATTTCGTTGTTGATGCTGAGTTGAGTGACGAAGATTTCCAGATTGGTTGGTATCAGGTTGATGAATGTGTTTCTCGCCTTCCCGATTCTCGATTTGACATCGTCGTCCAATCCTCCTGTAGTTGTGACAATGCTCCCTAAATAAGCGAATGAAGAACCTCCTTCAAATCCCTCCCGTTGATGGTAATTGGCGCTGGATGTTGCTGTTGTTGTTGTTGTTGGTTGGTTGGTTATTTTCATGACCTCCGTCTTGTCTATGTTAACCTGGAGTCCTGTCTTTGCAGCTTCGTCGACCAGTTTGCCATTTTTCGCTTGTAAGTCTTCAATTTTGTGTGACATCATACATAAATCATCCAGGCGCGAAATCCAGGTCTTCTAGGTTCTTCACGTCGGTCCAGGATATCCCGTATGCCACAATAGTATATATATATAAAATTTGTTTTATTGTGCTACTC